GCTCAATATAAGGTTTGCTAGCTGTGGGACGAGTGGGAAACTTACTTCTGGGACGCGCCTCGTATTTGGTGGATGATCTAAAATGCGTGAAGAATTTTTGATACTTTTTTGCAGCGAATGGGATCAGATCTAATTATACATAATACATTTAGTACAGTCCTTACCATTCTTTCTATGTCATAGTTTCCGACGACTTATTTTTTTAATATTTTGTAGTGATTTTTCAGTTGATGCTTCTGCGTGTCCTGGTACGATTGTTGATGCTCATACCGAGGACCCTTCCCACGTGAAGGCAGCTATATTTTACTCTATAACATCAACGCAGAAAGGACTTCAGGTCTGTGAAGCAATGACATGTTTAAAATGTTTAACCTGTACAGGTAGGCCTCGATTTACGCCGGGGTTACATCCCGCCTCCTCAGGGTCGTCGGCTGAAGCGGCGTAAATCGAGGAAGAATTATGATGTATCGTGCTGGCGGACGAGCAGAAAGCGACCGACACCGACACTAGCACCGCCTAGATACCTACTTCCTGTGCTGTGTTTTGAAATTTTCTTCTTGTAAATATATTTTTTTTTCCATTATTATTTTAAAAGGGCTTTAAGGGTAAAATGAAGCTCCGTAAAGCGGGGCCTACCTGTATTCAAAATTTCCTAAAGCATCTAAAAAATTAAGTTTTGGGAACTTTTATACAAAGATTTAATATGAATATGGAAGGAGTCCGGATAACCACGCAGCCAGTGTAGCTGTCTACGAGATGAGATTTAATCCGTGGATCTTCAAAGAGAGTGCATAATCATTGTGTTTAGATGCGCTGTATACAATTTTGTTCAAAGCTCAGTCGGTAAAGTGACTGGCTACGGACAGGGCAACCGGGGTTCGATCCCCGACGGGGGCAGAGATTTTTCCTCTAGCCTCTGCGTCCAGACCGGCTCTGGGGCCCACCCAGCCTCCTGTCCAATGGGTACCGGGGTCCTTTCCCGAGGGTAAAGCACGGCCAGGGCGTGATGCTGACCACTCACCCCCATCTAGTGCCGAGGTCAAGAACAAGTAGGAGCTATACCTCCACTCCCCCCAAGCGCCTACATGGCGTAAAGTGGGTCAGCTTTACGTTTTTACTACAGACCGAATAAGACGGTATTTTTGTTATTGATTCTGAGTAGGGAATTTTATTCTTACAGGGGATTGAGTTAGGAAATTATTTGATCAAGAGAGTTGTCAGAGAACTGAAAGCAGAATTTCCTCGAGTAAGCAAATTTTCTAGTTTATCTCCAATTCCTACATTTCGTTTGTGGCTTCTGGAAAGACTGAAGACAGCCGAGAAAGGTAACGCCATCTTCTTATTCAAGCTGAAGTTACTGACATTTTTTTTTATGAATTTATCATGCATGCTGCTTGTCCCACCCATTAAATTTATTGCGACGTGGGGTTAACGCGTCTCTTATTTTCTAGGTCGGAGAGAAGTTCTGACTTCTGAGGAAGTTGAACAATTAAAATCTTATCTACAGACTGATATGTTGTGGTCGGAACTGAAGAAACTATTTAAAACCAACGGCTGGGCCGCCGATACGAAGCTCGTGTCGTTGCTGGAAGCCCCGCTGATGCGCTTATGTGCGGAATACCTGTACCTGGAAAAAAGAAGAGGTTATGCATTAGATAATGTTGGTAAGAGTGATGCTTTAATTTGTGTGAAATTTTGTCCTTCATTTTGAGATAAGAACATGGATTCAGGATGTTTGAGAATGAAGTTCTGTGGAAGATATTTGGACCTTATCTTTATTGTCTTGACTTCACGCGTGACCCACCTGGACCTGCGTTAAAGCGACGCACGGTTAAAACATTAACCACGCATTCAAAATCCAGCCAGGAGCCCCATAAATATTCTGTTCGCAGACATAAAGGCTAACAACGTTAACCGGTTAATCTTTGTAATGCCGCTTATAGCCGAGTTCACATTTTCCTCACGTGCTACTCCCTCCTCTCTAATACAGAGGAGAGGCCGACATAAGGCAATGGACTGTAAACTGTGTCTTAATCTCTTTGCGATTATCGCTTCTGTCGCAAAGTTCGTCTTTATGCAATTTATGCATGTAAATTGTTGACGTGTTCTTTTCCTGACACTTCCAGCAAATTTTCACCTCCGAAATGGAGCAGTGATGTGGCGGCTGAACTGGCAGGCCGATCCGAGCGCTCGAGGTCTTGGAAACTCTTTTGGCATCATGGTGAATTACAGGTACAGACAAAATTGAAAATATTAATTAACCTTTGTCGCACGAGAAAAGGGAATTCAAACGCTGTACTTGATGGCTGCGCGGTTAACAGTTTTAAGACTTGAAACAAATTTTTGCTTTGAGAAGTACAAATGGTTTTATATGTGGTTAACTGTTGTTAATTTGACTGGGCTCAAATAAATTAATGTTTTTTTTTTTAAAATTTCTGTATTTGTTTAAGATATTTCTTGGAAGACGCAGAGACAAACAGTTGTGCGTACCTAGAGAAACAATACATAGCGGCATCTGACGAAGTACGCCAGTTGGCTGTCGGAGCTAGAGACTTGACGGAGAAGTTCACTTCCAAAATGTAATAAGACGAGGAATGCAAGTGTGAGCATCTGTAGTAGCTACAAAAATTTTGGATCATGAAACTGTAGTAACACTCGCTGACATGGCCACTGAATTTTTCATAAATATAAGTAAAAAAAGGACTTCCACGGTCAGAACGCTGGCCTTGTAATCCTGGGGTCTCGGGTTCGATTCCCGGCGGTGCCCGAATTTATAACTTGTGTTGGGCAAGGCCGTGGTCTAGGCAACACGGAGTTTTCCTCCGTGGCATCCCAACAATTACTCCATTCACACACAGAAGAAGGCAATGGCAAACCACTTCCGGATCATCTGCCAAGAACGTATATGAACAGATCCCAGTCCGAGAAAAGGATGGAAGAATCCTGTTCATATGGACCTGTCGTCAGACAGAACACAAAATAAAATAAATGGCAAACCACTTCTGGATCATCTGCCTAAAAACATATATGGACAGGTCCCAGTCCAAGAAAATAATATGTCGCCAACCTCCTGTAAAGGAAATGGCGTAATGAAGACGAAGTAAGTGACATCACCTTTGGACATGCTGAAAGATTTATATTTATGTATGTGATTAAGGTGCATTATCTTACATTAAAGACAGAATTTAAGATATTACGCGTCATATTTTTGTTTCTGCTAACGTGAGGTACGAGAGAATACTTTACTAATCAAACGCAGAAAATTTTAATTCCCAATTTAAATTTCTATATATTAAATTCTTTACTTCTTGCTCCAAGTAGAAACTTTCCCCACGCTACGCAAGAGACACCTCATGTAAAGACACTGGCACATCTGGTCTGGATTAATTATTTTTAAGGTAAATGAAAAAAAAATATCTTCACCAGTTCTTAACAGTTAAATGCTAAATATTTGTCGCTTTTCAATGACATAAATGACGCTTACCATGGGAATTCACTGACTAAAATAGTTTTTTTTTAATAATATACCAGCATGGAAGAATTAACATAGCATTGCCACATCCTGCCATGTTGAGATGTCAGAGATATCATAACCTTATCGTGACTACGACAATGACAGGTACGAGGTTTTGTGTGCAGCGCACTGGAAGCTCTTTGCGTCTGCTGACTTAAGTGGCCAATCCACGTATGAGTCTGACTCGTGAGCCGGGCTCGGATATATTTTACCGCGCATGCGTAGCAGACTCGGCTCGTGACACCACACCCACAAAAGAGTTTGGCTCGTTGGAACCCGAACCGAGCCAGACTCGTACGTAGAGATAAGTAAAATATTTAGATTAAAAAGTTATGAAATATTTAAAAAAAAATCCTGGAGCATTCACCAGAATTTGACCTGTTACAAATGTGCTATTCTGAAATAAGTGTGATGCGTGAACGATCAAATGAGACGAGAAAACAGGATGAAACGAGGTCTCACTGCCGTTGGCACTATTTGTGAACTGTCGGCGTGCACGTAGAGAGAGACGTTTCGATTAAAAATGCAGTGGCACAGCGATTGAAAAACTCTGAAATCGCGGTATGAGAGGAGGGTTGTGAAAGGAAGTGGCAGTAGCCTATTTTAAAGTATTGTACCAGAATTTCACCTGGAGGGACTGAGGAAAAGCTACCAAAAAAACCTCGGTGAGATTAGCCAATCCTGTGGAAGGGATTTTGGTGTTGAATCTCCAAAATTTGAGGTAGAAGTCTTACGTTTGGTACTTCGATATGACGCATTCGTCGTTTGTTTTAATTTCGTCACATTGCACAGTCTGAATCGTGAGACCACGAGACGGGAGACTGCGAAGAACTGTCAGACCGACACTCGCAGTTGCCTAGGCTGATGGTGATGTGTTTCACTTGGCCACTGTCCTCGTCACCGCTTTGCTCACTGGCGCTCTCTTCCAAGATGTGCGCAGTGGGTACGGCGCTGTGACGTAATCGAGTCGTGCTGATACCGTCCAATAGCGCACGAGGGCTCAGTTCTGCCAACTGCGGGACTGAAATGTCAGCGACATTCTTTTGTTGTCCTTGCGTATGCATCTTTGTTACGTACGTCTGTAGAAGGTGTTGGAGCAGCTCTGCGCCTGTCTGGCATGACAGCGTGCGTCTCTGTGATTGTGTTTCCATCGGAACCGGTCCTGCAAATCAAGTAATTTCTCGTTCTGATTGCGAAACACACAGAAAAATTAATTAAAATAGTAAAACATTCATAAACAAAGTTGTAGATGATGAATGTCTTCTTTGGTGTTGCACCGCGTAGTCTCGTATAAGTTTACTGATGTTTCAGAGGTACTTGATGCTTCCATCATCAGGGCGATGATGGAGGCAGAAAATACCTCTGAAACATTGGCCAGTTTCACCGGATTACGCGGTGCATCACCCGAGAAGACAGACATCTTCATGTTCGCCATCATGAGTACCTGAAATCAGACAAATGCAGTGGAATGCACGTTTAATGCTTACTAGTTCCGTCTCGTGTCTAACTGGTGAAAGTAAAGTTGTCCCTGAAGACAAAACAGAAAGCGGAATCGAACCCTATTCATCACGTTATTTCAGTTTACAGTGACGCTTAATCGGCTATGAACTTTGTGCTACGCCAGCGTACATGACGCAACGACCAGGCCTTGGATCGCAACTTCGTTCTCGCATGTTGGTAATGACAGGCTGAAAATTATAGCTACATTGCAAGTCAAGGACTGGATCACGTAACAATTTTTTTTGTATGCAACCCATCAAGAGGTAGTTATTAGGGTGTTTTTTTTGGCAAAGTGAGAGCGAACACGTGACAACCAACGGCCAAGATTCCTACTACAAATCGCGACAACCCCGTTTTAAGAAAATTCCGTATCTTGAAGATTATTCTGGTGGACACACGTGAAACCGCAGGCTATGAGGTAGGTTCCTGTCGTCAGCGAACAGTCCAACAAGACGAAACGATGCAATCAACTTCACGTCTTAACTAATACTTTCACTTCTAACTTAGTCGTTGGTATTTCTCATGTCCCTGTCGATTTAAACAGCTCCTTGCGTCTTGGAAAAGTGTGATTACATCAGACAAATAAAATGACGATTCAAGGAACGGAGCCCTTATTTAGAAGTCAACAGCTATCAAAGGAAATTCATATTTCACGGACGTAACACCTTGCTATCTTCGCTGGATTGGAAAACTCCTTTCGTTCAACCATCCTGGCCTCAGGAGTGCTAGGAATTCCTACAAGGGGCTTCGCCAACCACTTCTGAGGGACTACATTTCCTTGGGACACCCCCCCAGCCAACGTCCCCCCAACACCAAGTCAAAACCAAGGACTCTCTCCTCCGGGCTTGGACATCCCTGAGCTCTCGCCATCAAAGTCAATGCAGAAGTGACCATGGGACAATGTTGCGTAATAATAACCTTGGGTTTTTTCAGCGCATCAATGACATACGTGATGTGTGTTTGGAATGTAATCGTTCTGTTATTTCATTTTGGATCAAGGGGTACAGAGGGGGATTAAAAAAATTTGTATGAAATTTTGGTGACAAAACTGAAAGGGAATGACAACTTGCGAAATCTGGGCGGAAATGGGAAGGGGGGGGGGATATTAAAATGGGAATTGAGAAACAGAATGTAAAAATGTGTACTGGATTAAATAGACCTGGCTGTGAACGGGGGTCCAATGTCTGTCTTGTGTAAACGCGTTCTTGAACAGCTTGATAATAAGTGACTGACTACGAGCTTAGTGCGCACGCGCGCTGTGCCAGAAGTGATGACGAAATATTTGCACAACGGAATATCAGAACGCAAGATTCTGTCTAAACTTACGTACGATACTGAACTTTGTCTGATTGCGTTTCATGTACCCCCTACAAAAATATATGATACACCCAGTCGAATTTATTTGAAATAGCAGAATAAAATGTATTTGAACATTTAAAAATTAACTCATTAATCCATAAATTCTGTGGTCAATTTATTACGTAATACAGAAACAAATGTAATACTTTCATGGCCAATTTTAAATTTGACAATAGAAAAAATATCTGTTCATATTTATGCTTAATCCTAGTGATATTGATGTTTTTGTCGTAAATACGTCTATACGGAAGGGTCATTCGGCAAACAAGTGAAAGGAAAACGTGTAAGATCCATATCAACAATGTGTAAATATGGACCGACAACAATGATCAGCTTGCGTGCATTGTTATGTTACCTAGGAAACGTCATCTGTTTACTCGGCATTGTTGTTAATATTGTTGTAATTAAAGCCAATATATAAACTTCCTTTCCGTATAGACGTATTTACGTCAGATTCTCCGGAACCGTGGTTCCATTGTCAATTTTTTCTATTGTTGACACAAAAATCAATTGTTACAAAACTGTCAATACAAATATTCCGCACAACAAAATCGAATCTCCCAACAATTTTTGTTTGCAGAGACCGCCACGCTTTGCTGTTCACATCACGTAAAGGGAAAGCAAGCTTCTACCAGAGTAGAAATGGTTAGCACGAAGTCAAGGTCACCCGTAATTCTAATATTTATTTTTACGAACAAACACACTTATTGAAATTGATTATGTAACCACTTCTGATGTCAATAATGGACTAAAATATCGCAGAGAGTGTACAATTCTCTTGTTTTCTGCGGCATTAAGGAACAATGGAGACATAATTATGTTTTCTCATGGCTTATGCATTGTAACAGTTTTATATAAGGCGTGTGAAAATCGAGGACAATGAAAGAATTGCTTATGTATGTTAGCACGCGATTTTCCCGGGGCACAAGATTAAATATGTAATTGTAGCGCAGATACGACGTGAACAGGAAAAACAGTTACAGTGGAACCACGGTTCCGGAGAATTTGACGTAAATACGTCTCTGTAATGTAATGTTATCTTCAATGTCATCCATCTTGTTACGAAAGCGGATTGTTGACGGAAATAATATAACACAACAATGCCGAGTAAACAGATGACGTTTCCTAGGTAACATAATGCACGAAAGCTGACCATTGTTGTCGGTCCATATTTACACATTGTTGATATGGATCTTACACGTTTTCCTTTTCACTTGTTTGCCGAATGACCCTTCCGTATAGACGTATTTACGTCAAAACTATTATAATTTCACAAATCACCTCCCACACCTGTGTCAGTTTAATTAAACTTCTTACATTGTTGTATTGGCATCGGCGACAGAATTATGCAATAAGTGAACTTCGTGTGACAGAGACGTGTGTGAAACGGAAATTCATACGTTTACTCAGAGTAAACAAGAAATACTTTTCTTAAGAACTGGTGAAGTAAGGACGACGCCATCTGCGTCCTGCACACGAGAAACTGCTTTTAGCCTAGAGCCCAAAAGTCTTCTTCCTTCGCACTGATTTCTTTAGATTTCATCAGAATATTTAACAAAACAAAATACACTTTAATCTCCACTCATTTCGTTTTTATATTTCTTTGTTGTTGTCTTCGGAGTTTTAGACTTTCATTGTTGCAGAGTTTGGATATTTTCCGGTCGTATTATAACGAATACACGGGACTATTTACATCTTACAGTTTTTCAGTGACTTTTAGAGACGTGTTTAATTGCAGATTTTTGTCCATAGTTATTTCCATTGTTAAGAGTAAACATCGTGAATGTGAATCCACTCGGTCAGAACGGAACGTAAAAAGAAATCCATAAATCTTCTTTTGCGCGTGCACAGTTCAGAGAGAGACAGAGCCACCAACAATTAAGTGTTAAAATGTTTCTTGTTCCTTTCGATTCTCTGGCAAGATTATTATTCGCTTCAAAACAGCGGAGTCCAATGACCGAAGCTGTGGATTGCGATAAGATTTTATTCACAAAATCCTAAAGCAGCGAACTGCATTACCGCTGGCTGTGATAAGGCAAAGAGTAGACATTAAATTAGAGGAAGTTGATGTATTTGTTGTTTATTTAACGACGCTTTAAGTAACCCAGGCACTGGAAAACACAGCACCAGCCTCGACGATGATAACTCACTTCATGTGTACTATCACGCCCCGCGGCCATGTTGAAAAAGACTAGATCCGGCCCGAAGCAAATTAAAGGTGATTAATTAAACGATGAACTGGAAAGGATAAGGAAGGAAAGGTACCATCTCGGCATTTGTTGAAGAGTTTAAGGAAAACCACGAAAGTACAGCTGGTCTCTGGATTATTTAAAACCCGTGATTTTCCAAATACGAAAGAGGGTTCAATGCTAACCAAACGACCGAGAATTTAATCTTGGATTTCGGTGTAATTTAAACAACAGACAGTGATTAATGTCCGTTTCAAGATTAAACATTATTTATGCATCAGAGACATTGAACCTTAGAACATTTAATGATACCGGAAGGCTCGGGGAAGTCCGTAGTTGGAATTTGTCCTCTTGTCAGCTGAATCCAGTCGACAGCCTAGCACAAATCTGTCTTAAAGGGAAATGAGGTTATGTTCGGTATCATTGTGGTCTTGTGGGATTGCGAACTGTTTGACAGCCCTAATTACTCGGAACTACCACGTGATGTCATAGACAAGCAACGGAGGGCGTGAACTAACTGCAACTCATGACCACGATCCTGTGGCTATACGGCAATCAGGCATAGCCATGAAGATCTTCACTGTACCATAAGCAGCGGACGAGATCAGACGCTCAACGCCATTTCACGATACGTCAATCCATCAATCTCCACGGTTTTATCAGCCTCTTGAGGTAAGTGTAATCATTTCTTACGCGAGTGACGTAAATTATGGAAAGTTGCCGAGTCAAGATTCCGTCACCAACGGCTGATGTAAGAGTCCCGGTTTGTCGTTGTTATGAATTGGTATTTTTTCATTTTAAATTCGTGTACACACGGGGGGGGGGGGGGGGTGACCTCCGCACGAATAGATCCGAATGTGGCGAGATCAAGATTCTCATGGCCTCGAGCATGAAGACTCTGGAAGTCCTGAGCCGTATAGTCTGGTAGATATTGACCGACGTTTCAGAGGTGCTTACTTCCTCCGTCATCGCCGTGATAGAGAGTGAAATCTCACAAAAACAGGAAGGTTGTGGAAATGCTCTTTGGTCCGATCAATGAATTAATAAAAAGCGATTAGGAATTTCATAAATTAATAAGAAATAGTTTATTAGCATAGATGAAACTGCCCCCCCCCCCCACAAATCGTTGTTCAACGCTGAAGAAAATGAAGTTTTTCATTGTGCAATTCACTTTTCTCTGCTGTAAATTCCCATATCTCAAGTGCATATGTTCTCAAAATAACTCAGTCATAGTTTTCATAATGGCCTTAGATGTGGATTGCTGATAAATGGAATCAAAGTTTAGACAAGCGATAGAGCTTGTTGAAACAAATGGATTGATGATAACGACCATTCGGTTGTGTGATAACCCAGCAATTATTGCATATCGATGATGATAAAAAAAAGTTCGTATTGCCAGCGAGCCGCGTGATAACATAACCTATATTCAAATGAAAAGCGCGTGTCGTCTTTTTTATAACCGAAGTAAAAGTAGTTCTTTTCCTTTACTGCAGAGCTCGCTGAAAGCGAAAACCAACGCGAGGCAAGCCCCAAAAGTCACACGAATAATGAAACTCGCTGTTAAAATATTCTTACGACTTCCGTAAGTGAGCTATAGAGGCTGGTTCTGCGTCAACTTTCAACTGTTCCAGTGTTTTGATTTAAATCATAAACCTCATTGTCAGAATTTCTGCTAGTTAAGAATCCCGTGTTAATTGCATGGAACTCCAACAATACGCAGACATGTTGAACACGTGTTTATTTCCATGCAGAAACACGACAGTGTTCATTGTTGTGTTTGCTATGCGAATTCTGTCTGTTGAACGGTCCTTCGGCTGCACGCCTGTGTTTTTTTTTCTTAACCGTTTTAATTGATCAAATGTAAGTCAGATGTCGCAGTTAACAATTGCCGCTCATTCCACGAAACATTTGTTTAAACAACTACGAAACTTCTGGACTGAATTTATTTGAAGTTTAAGAAGCGAAATGAAGGAATATCTCGACAATGCTGATTATTCGCGCAGTTTAAATACCAAGGTAATGGGAATGGTTGTGACTAAAATGTAAAAAAAACTGAAAACTTCGCATGATTTACTATATTTTCCGTTTTGTTTCTAGTTCGTAAAACGGTCATGGAATCCGGTACTTTCGAGAGACCTTCGTGGCTTGAAGCTGAGTTTATTGAAGAAGCACTTCATTCAAGGGAAGAATATGAAGGCGTGTCTGTAGTTGACAGTAAGGTCCAGTTGGCCGCTGGCAAAGGCGATAATTACACCAGTGTCATACATCGCGTCACCATTCAATTCAAACGTAAAAATAACGATGAGACAACAGAAAGGACCAGTCTGATAATAAAAAGTTTGTCTTCAATTGAGATTATGGCAAAATTTCTGTCAGACTTTAAGGTCTTCGAAAAGGAGACGGCAATTTATCAGGTCACAATACCAGCCATGTTTCGCCTTCTGCGACAACACGACGAAAGAAGACAAATCCATTGTTTGACACCATTTTGTTACAAGACTTCCAGACCACACACTCTGATTCTAGAAGATCTGATGACTTCGGGTTTCAAGATGGCCGACAGGCGTGCTCGTCTGGATTTAGCTCATTGTAAAATGACGGTGAAGAACCTTGCTCGATTTCACGCCATGTCTCTGGCGCTCTACGACGAAGATCCAACGAGCATGGATGAGTATTCAGAAAAAGTGTACAATGATACAAGTCGCGAAATGATGATGAATTTTATAACATCGGCAATCAATGCTTTAGCGAATGTGGTGGAGAGGTGGCCTGGTTTTGAAAAGTACGGAGATAAATTCCGTCGGCTATTGCCGACAATTTGGGACCGAATGATGGAGATCGTCAAACCTAAGCCGAACTCACTCTCCGTTCTGAACCACGGCGACTGCTGGGTGAACAACCTGATGTTTCACTATTGCCCGGCCACGGGGACAGTCGATGACGTAAAGTTTGTAGACTTTCAGTTGTCTCGATATTCGTCCCCGGCCCTAGATCTGCAATATTTCGTGTACACAAGTCCCAGCGAAGACATACGATCGAATTACACGGAACTCCTGTTGGAGGAGTACCACAAAGAACTACAAGACACTCTCAAGATCCTTCACTGTGAACACCACGAATTCACCATCGATCAGTTGAAGGAAGAATTTGAGGAGAAATCTCTCTTTGGACTAATCGCGGCTGCCACAGTCCTCTCTGCTGTTGTAGCAGACCCAAATGATGTAATGGACTTGGAGAATGTTAAAGAAGATGGAAGCAATATGGATCTTAAGTTAGTGGAGAAACCCCTTTCGGGGAGACGCTACAAACAAGCTTTAGAGAAATTAATACCACATTTTGAAAAGAAAGGGTTGCTTTGAAGAATAAGGACCTGAAACAATAAGAGGAATGTTTTCATACAAAAGGAAAACATTTCTAGACCTTTTAGGTCCGATTTATATTTTTTATATCTGAAATTACGCTCGAACCTGAATCTTACATAATTTCAAAAAAACCTATAAATTTTTAAGCCTGCGTATTAAAAGAACACGGCACTCCAAAGTCAGTCTCCATATACGTTTTTGAATTCCGAACAAAAATTGTCAAAATTATTATCCCTCTTTTCGCTAAATGGAAACAAAACATTTCAACTCGTAGATTTGTAAATTAAAAATCGCTGACAAACGAAGTATATGCTCGACTTATTTTTATTTTTTTGAGTTAAAATAAATAGTGACGCTGTCACGTGGTGTGGACATGCTAGTATTTTGACTTGTTCCACAAATTAATGAAGCACAATCCGGCTAGAACAAGAAACGATGGCAGCCAAGGCTTCACTGTGGGTGGCCTTGGAGACAGAACCGCGCACTTGGCCTGAACAATGACGACGATGATGATGATGACCGTTGATATTTCGGGCATTGTTGTGTGGCTGTGTTCAATGGAAGCTGACCTCGGAGTCAATTAAGGCGTGACCGTGACGAAGCAATTATTTTGTTCAATTTCAGTAAGTCAGGCTTCAGATACTTGGCGATAATCGATACCTGACGATAATCGATACTTGGCGATAATCGATACCTGACGATAATCGATCCAGGCGTTTTACATTTCGCGTAACAATCGACAATTATAAGAAGAGGGCATCTATATGACTAGGCGATTTAAAAGGTGTAAATTTATTTTAAAACATGGCAGTTACTCAAGTCAGTGTTTAAATAAATCCGCAAATGCTGGCGTATGAATACAAACAGACTAAAAAACCTGCGTTGTGAAGTTAGACGACCATGGAAAGATAACCTTTCGATATTCTTGTCACCGTAGAAAGGTTGATATATTATTAGTATTATTATTATTTTAAGGAAGCTGTTTTAAATGTGTGTTACACGTCAAATGAGAGTGGAAAGTGAACACATTCGAATTTCGAAGGGAGCGTAAAATACATTGTTCTAGAGCTTACCATTTTTTTTTACACAGGCCAGCGAATTGTTGTCTTAAAAACCGTTCCTTTTTATACGTGAGGAAATATGGAATTATCTTATGTTAGCATGCACGTATCAAACAATGTTATTTTGTGTTGTATTGTATTAAATTGAATTAAATAAAACAATGATAATGTAATATATCGGATCTATTTAATTTCTGAAATTAATTTTTAAAAAAAATAACAATGACTTTAGGGCGAATCACTCTGCAGAAGCTAAATCGAGTACATTTAATCCAGTTTGGTACCAGACTCTTCATTTAAAGGTCGAAAATAATCCTTTCGTGATGCAACTTAAGTAATAAGTAACAAATCATTTTATCGAATATTCTAGTGTTATATTTGCAATTACGTAAATGTTAAGTACCACTACAAATATGAAAATGTTACCTTAAATATCATTACAGATGACATGTAAGTAGGCAAGAGTTTCGTATTGTTTAATTAACCCCTAATTTCTGACAAAATGGAGTTTTTTAAATATCAAAGTCCAGAGTTTTCTTTTCTATTTTTAGTTCATGAATTTATGCAAACATGGGAGAAAACTAATTTCAATTCCTGTTGAAACAGTTTCGTAATTTACGCAAGCAGAAATGATAACGCCTACGAAAATGTTTCAAGGTCTCGTTCTACCTGATCCCTGACCGTGATTCCCTCATGATTAAAACTTCCTGATAAGGAAAGTAAGTACTCATTTTCTGTTATCTCCAGTCGAAGAGAACAGTGTCTGGGGTCCACACTGAGTACCTTCTGCATTCCGCTTGAACCCGAATGCTCTTGACTGGTAAGTTGCCTTAAATTAAGTAACTACAGGGAACAATATTGATCTAAGAGACTGGGAGTAACACGAGGGTGGAAAGTTCCATTATGAGAAGTTGGTATGTATTTTTCAACTATTATTAATCAACTGAACTCTGAGAATAATAGGAAATGTTCTGTAGGTATAACTCTGAATTACTGGATGTTTATGTTAGGTGGTAAGTATAGTTACCACTCTGAACCAATTCTATTTCATGTAACCGTGAAGGTTCCAGAACGAATCGACGTGGAAGTAAGTACTTTGCTTCGAAGTCAGGATATGTCAACCCTTTAAAGGCTATCCTGACCGAATTTTGTGACCGCCATGTTGTCACTTTAAACTGCAACCTAACACAACCGACTCTGATCCCCCGTCCCCCCAAACTGCGTACCGAGGTTCTTTCTCAGGGGGCAAGTCGGCCGTAGCTTAAAAGCGGCCTCTCGCCACTATCATCGGTGCTAAGAATACGTGGAGCTATACCTCCACGTCCAAATATATTTATTAACCTCAAGACCAAATTTACCTTAAAAACATCATGTTCATATATCTCATGAATATTTATCGATTCATTCAAATGTCTTGAGAGATAATCGCATTCAACTGATAGTGACGTAAGTCCTTATTTTCCTCAGGGCTACCATCTCGATGTTGTTAATGGGTCGAACCCCCCCCCCCCCCCCCCCCCC